CCACCATGGCCAAGACCAAAAAGCAGTTTAGACCTACACAAGGCTGGAATGGGCTACAAGACCGTCGCCAGGCAGCTTGGTGAGAAGGTGACAACAGTTGGTGCGATTATTCGCAAATGGAAGAAACACAATATAACTAATATTTTTAAACAACTTGCCAAATAGATTAAAAATAAAGACTACTCACTGGTTTAAGATGACCTGCTTGGAGAAATTGGATCATTACCAAGATGAAATTGCAATCTCCTAAAATTTAGGTGATAATCCAATTTAGTTTGGAGAATCCAGAAGAGTAGTAAAGTCCAGTCCAGGTCGTTAGCAATGAGGCAATAGTATGGGTGATCCAAAAGCAAGGTTAAAATCCAGTCTTGCAGCCATTAATCAATCCAAAAGGGGAATCCAGAAGAAGTGTCAGGTCCAGTCCAAGTCAGCATCAGGTAACAGATGCAGAGGGATAATCCTAGAGAAAAGTAAAAGTCCAATCCAGTCAGGCAATAACGAATCAATTCAAATAGAGAAGTTAATTTCAGTCCCAGTCAGCAAAGTGGCAAATAAAGTAAGGTTATCTGTAAGAATGGGCAGAGTTCAGTCCGGTTTGGCATTGTGAAAATGAAACAGACTATAAAGGACTTTAAGTTTTAAGGGGGATTAGAAAGGTTATTTGGACTGGGAATAACGGCACCTACAGAGCAAAGATAGGCATCAGGTGCACACTGGTGAAGACACACATTAATTGTGCACTGCGATATTGATGTCGAGCGTTCAAATAGGTGAATTAGTGAACGTCAATTAGCCTCTTAAAGTGGTATAGTTAAGAGTGAGGTGTCAGTCTGACTCGGTCTGGTGCTCCATGCAAGATCTCTCCTTGTGGAGTTTCAATGATCATGAGGTGAGGAATCAGCCTAGAACTACATGGGAGGATCTTGTTAATGATCTCAAAGCAGCTGGGACCATAGTCACCAAGAAAACAATTGATAACACACTACGCCGTGAAGGACTGAAGTCCTGCAGCACCCGCAAGGTCCCTCTGCTCAAGAGAGCACATGTACAGGCCCGTCTGAAGTTTGCCAATGAACATCTGAATGATTCAGAGGACAACTGCACCGCATCAAAGGGTCGATGGACCATGTACCATCAAATCTTGAGTGAGAACCACCTTCCATCAGCCAGGACATTGATAATAGATCGTGGATGGGTATTCCAGCATCACAATGACCCAAAAAAAAACAGCCAAGGCAACAAATTAGTGGTTCAAGAAGAAGCCAGTCTCCAGACCTTAATCCCATGGAAAATCTGTGGAGAGAGCTGAAGGTTCAAGTTGCCAAATGTCAGCCCGAAACCATAATGACTTGGAGAGGATCTGCAAAGAGGAGTGGAACAAAATCCCTCCTGAGATGTGTGCAAACCTGGTGGCCAACTACAAGAAACATCTGACCTCTACGATTGCCAACAAGGGTTTTGCCACCAAGTACTAAGTCAAAGGGGTCACATACTTATTTCACTCATTGACATGCAAATCAATGTATAACTATTTTGACATGCGTTTTTCTGGATTTTTTGTTGTTGTTATTAAAATTACTGACCCTGTGTGCCAACACAAAAAAGACCGCCCGCGCCAAAGCGAAGATGGCGAGGACCACGCGGCGCAATCTCCGATGTCGGATGGGCCTCGGGAATCGGAAACAAAGTACTCCTATACCTGAGGAGATTCCAGTGACAGAAAGGACTCTGCACAACATGCTGAAAAATCTGCAAACCACACTGCAGGCCGACCTCAAGCAAATGTCTATGGAGCTAAGAAAATAAATAAATGAACTGGGTGGCAGAAGAAATCACCTAGAAAACAGAAAAGAGGAATTATGTGAAGCCCACAATGAGGTGGTAGAAAAGCTGCAATGGCTGAAGGAAAAACATGAAACACTAAAGCACAAAATGGCAGACCTAGAAGACTGGTCCCACTGAAATAACATCTGCTTTAGGGGCATTGTCAACTCAGTCACAAGCGAGGAGCTGCCCAACTACGTTAAAGCCTTGTGCAAGGCCTTAGTCCCACAGCTGGCGGGCGTGACATGGCAGCTGGACAGGGTACACAGGTTACCAAGATCCCCTCGGTTCACGGCAGACACGTGACCATACTGTGACGGTCTGCCAAGGTATTACCGCCATGCATACCCTTTTCCCATAGTAATCAATATCCACAGGTTACAATATCACTGGTATCGCATAATAACCCACACAGGAGCCAAAGCTTAATGCTGGGACAAGACTGGTTTAATGGAAAACAGGCATTCAATTTATACAGTGAAAAAACTCCTCCTCTGAGCCAGGGAGATAGTTGAGTAAGAGAAAGTACTAAACTCAATTATCTCCTGGTACAGAAAAAGTTAAAATTTTGCAACAACCCGAAAGTACCCCCAAAATGCATGGAAACCCCACATCCCTGTGTAGCCTGGATCTGGGGGAACAATATATTCGAAAAACAGCCAGCTCCATTCGGTAGTTTGTGATCGGCACCGCAGGTAAGGTTTGACCGGTCTGCCACGAGGTGAATCCCAGAAACAGTTCCATGAAAAGTGTGGCAAAAGCCGATCTCCGTTCGTGGGGTTTTGCACGAAAACCACAAAAGATAGAGTCTAGCTGATTCGTGGAGAATATTATTGTGTAAGATAGCCAATTCCAGTGATCCAGTTAATCAATAATGTTAGATCACAGTGCTGTAGTGGCTGCGTCCACATCACATGATAGAACATACCCGGGTCTGAGGATGATGACGCGAGCACGTCACGCCGGAAACAGGAAACTGAAAACAGAAACAGCTTAAATCAGGATGCACACAGTATTTATTCAGACTGTGGAGAGGATACTACAGCACTGAAGAAGACTCCAGGAGGAGTCAAAACGCGTCTGCTGGTGACCTTTCTGGGACTGTTTATTCTTGTATGCGGTGACTTGTGGCATTTGTCCTATTTTTACCCTCTTCTTTACCCTAAGTCCACTTGAGAATCCAACCTATACTCCCAACTGCCAGCTGGTCGGTGTCACATCCTGTTCCTAGCTGCGGAGCATTCTGGCTATGGCTTCTGGTATCTTTTTACAATTCTTGTTTAGTTTTTCTTGTTTTTTTGGTTTTCTATTCTATGTTTGGTTTTCTTTATGCTAGGTTTTTCTGGGTTCATTCCTGTAATCCGTCCTGGGAATTCCCAGTCTCCAGGTTTCCTTTAAATGTTTGTTTTATGTTGCCACACCCGTTTGGTTTCCATCATTCCTTTTGTTTCAGTGTTCCTGCAGGCAGCTGCATAAGTCTTCTGCCCTTTCTTGCAGGCAGGGGCGGGCTGGGCCGGGGGGCAGGGAGGCAATTGCCCCCCAGGCCGCGCTAAATTCCTGTAAGGCCGGCCGCGGCGG